TTTCCTTCTCATTGCCCTTTTCAGATTCTTTCTATCCGTCTCTAAGCTCCCTACTGATATTCCATTGCCCACTGGGCATCTGCACTTGGATATCTTGTTGGCACCTCATATCCAAGAGGTTCCAAATTGATCCAAATACCCAAGCTTGAAACCTGTGACCTATTGATCCTTTCTCCTCACCTTCAGAATCCAGTAAGAAGGCAAATCTGGTCAAAATTCTACCTATCAACAATCATCAAACCCATCTACTTTATCTATCTGTCATGTCCTTCTTCTTAGTCACCATTACCTTTTACCTGTATTAATGGATTAGCAGCTCTCTCCCTGCTAAATTTCCCCTGATCCATTCTGTGACTTCTTTCTGGGCGATGCTTCTAAAAGCATCCTCATCCTTCTTCTTCCCTGCTTTAATTCTTACCCATTTGTTAAATGTCCTGTACCCAGATGGATGGGGGCCTCTACAGAGCATGCGTTCTAGCCTGTACATAACCAGGTCATCATGGCACTAACAAGTTTATGGGGAGTTGGAGAAGAGAGTTGTTTCCCACTCCGCAGAACTTTATGAAAATCCCAAATGTAAATCAGCCACTCCTGCCCCAGAGCTCTTGGTCATGGGCTTTGTATCCCTTCCATCCTTCCTCAGCCTCTCCCATCTGTAGTAACCCTACCCTATTTCTCCCTTTTTACTTATTCAGAGGATCTCAGTTCTTTCCTGAATGTTCTGATCCTTAAGTTTCATTCCTGTCTTGTCTTTGGGTTTCCCTAAAAGCAGATTTTGAAAAAGCATGCAATCTGGTCTGTCTTCACTACTTAAGAGCTGTGTGACCTCTCCGTGCCTCCATTTCCTCATCGGTAAGAGTCTACTTTATAGGATTGTAGGGAAGATTAAATTAATTCATGCACAGAAAGTGCTTAAAGCCCTAGCTGACCTGTAATGATGGTCAGTAAAGCTTGCTGTGATAACAGTGATTACTATTATTATTAAAAATATCACTACTTCCAGGTTGCCATCCTCAACCAATCTAGCTAGACCAGATTAGAGCTCCCTCTTATGTGTACTAATAGCACTGTGTGCCTCCTTTACATTGTAATTGCCAGTTTGCTACAGGAAGGATGATGAAATATTGTTCATCATCCAGCACCTAGCCCAGTGCCTGGCAGAGTTATATAAGATGTGCTCAAGTATTTTTTGAACAAAATTAATGAATCAAATAACTTGTAGAAAGAGCATTCCAATTACGCTTTGCTTTCTTACCTTTAAATAGCCACCTCTTTAAAAAAAATAAAACACGACCAAGCGTGGTGGCTCATGCCTGTAATCCCAGCACTTTGGGAGGCCGAGGTGGGCGGATCACCTGAAGTCAGGAGTTCGAGACCAGCCTGGCCAACATGGTGAAACACTGTCTCTACTAAAAATACAAAAATTAGCTGGGCGTGGTGGCGGGTGCCTGTAATCCCAGCTGCGTGGGAGGCTGAGGCAGGAGAATTGCTTGAACCGAGGAGGCAGAGGTTGCAGTGAGCCGAGATCGCACCATTGTACTCCAGCCTGTTCAACAAGAGAGAAACTCTATCTCAAAATAAATAAATTAATTAAATAAAACACAACAAACAAAATAGAACTCTGCCCCAGGGGCCTGTCTTTAAATCTGGCATTTCTCAGTGAACTTGGGGAAACCTCTCTAGATATCTAAATCCTGGAACAGTTCTATCTCAGAGCTTCTGCCCAGCTCTAGAATTCTTTACATCTGTGGTAATAGCATGAAATGGGTATCGAGTACATTTTAAGGACACTCAGAGTTTCCCTTATGCTTACGGTTTTTTTCCTGTTAGTTGATGAGAAAATGTCATCATGTTGCTTGGATTTGTAGGTTCTTTCCTAGTTGTGGGGAATTTTTCCGAGCTGGCTATTATGAGAGGGTCTCAAAAGAAACCACAAAGAAGTTCGGTATATTATGTTCAAATTAAACACAGTATCCCTTCTTATTTTCACTTTTGATCTGGATTTTCACTTCTGAGCTGACTTCTATAATTATATTTAAAGAATTTAGTCTCAGAAATAATCCTTAAACCTTTCTCACATGCCAAATCGGAAACTTATTCAGGACTGCTAATTCTGGTGATTTATTTCTTTCTTTCATATATTTATAGATGAAATATGTATATACACACATAGACACAGATAAGACTATATCTATATGTAAATACAGATACTTAAAATATATCTGTATATATTTTAATTGTGGTAAAATAGATAACAGAAAAATTACCATCTTAACCATGTTTAAGTACACAGGTCACTGGCATTAAATACATTCACATTGTTGTGCACCCATCACCATCATCCATCTCTGAAATCTTTTCATCTTGCAAAACAGAAACTCTGTCCTCATTAAACAACAACTCCCCATTCTCTCCTCCCCCCAGCCCCACCGCAACCACCATCGTACTTTCCATTTCTTTGAATTTGGCTATTCTAGGTACCTCAGATAAGTGAAACCCTACAGTGTTTGTCCTTTTGTGACTGGCTTATTTCACTTAAGCACAGTGTCCTCAAGGTTCATCTAATGTTGTAGGATTACAACAACATCGTAGCATTGACATGGTTTCTTTGCTTTTTAAGGCCAAATAATATTCCACGGTGTAGAGATACCACATTTTATATATCCATGTGATGGACACGGGTTGACAGACACAGGTTGCTCCCACGTTTTGGCTGTTGTGAATAATGCTGTTAGGGACGTGGGTGTACAAATACCTGTTTTAGTTCTTGCGTTCAGTTCCTTTGGATCAAATGAGTTATTGATCCTTCTCTATTGACGCTTCTGTTTTCATGGACTCTTGCCTTACTCTTTTGATCATTTCGTGTTCCTCCCCCCATCGACCTTTGGGCCATTTTTCTGGCAATGTCCCTACTATCGAGGTTCTCATACTTCAGTTGGACCCTCACAGAACTGTTGCCTGGAGAAAACAGTTTGACAGCTGAAAAAATATGATTCATTACCACCTCCTACACACACACCAATTCCTGCGATTTTCTGAAGGTATACCGGTGGTTCCTAAATTAAAAAAGAAAATCTCTTGGTCATATGGCAGATTTTTGTAGCTATTGATACTCTGTATTTTGAAATTTAACTGTTGATAATAGCAGCTTCTTGATGTATCAGTCCTCTAATTGTGATACTGTTATCTGTTTCTTATTATGAAAACAATACATGACAATAGTAGAAAACTTGTAAGGTGTAGAAAAGTATTACACACAATGGCACTACCTGAAAGCAACAGCTGTTAACATTCTGGTGCATAGGCTTCCAGTCTCTTTCATGTAAATTTTTACATAGTAAAGATCATACTGTTTTGCCCTTTCTTCTTTGCATTTAATAATAAATATAAGAATTTCTGGCCGGGTGTGGTAGTTCATACCTAAGTAGCTGGGAGATTGAGGTGGGAGGATAGTTTGAGCCCAGGAGTTTGAGGTTACAGTGAGCTATGATTGTACCATTGCACTCCCCCTGAAGGAAGACCCCATCTCAAAAAAAAAAAAGAAATTTCTTGTTAAAAAGTATTTGCAAATATTTTCATGATTTTATATAGCTGAGAAATATTTAGAGGGTGGTAATTAGCATAAATAGAATTTTTCCAGTTATAAAAATAATATATTACTTACAGAAAATGCCAACCATCTCAAGATTATAAAGAAGTAATAAAAAATCTAATGTCTTTGTCTGCCCTTTTTAAGCTTTTTTAATGTATCCTAATCCAGTCTTGAGACCACCTTGTCCCTCCCTTCTTCTCACTTTCTTTCTTACCTGGCAACGTTAGTATCATGTTTACATATGATTTTATATTCAGCATTTGCACTCAACATTATCTTTTGTTATTTCCAATATCATGAAGCATTCTCCAAAAATCATGATTTAAGCATATGAATTTTTACTGTGATCTGGTTAGTCACATGCTCCATTCCACCTTTGGATGTTTAAGTTGTTCCCAATTTTATGCTTTTGCTAAGTATGTCCTTGTATAGTTATCTTCCTATGTATCTGTGATTATTTCCTTAGGAGATATGTATAGACATCTTAGGAGTCGAAACAGTTTTAAGGCTGAAAAAATACATATATTGCTGATTTCCTGAAATGGTTGTCTCGCCTCACTTCATGAGCTTTCTTTTTTTTTGTTGTCCATCTTTGTGACTGGTGAAGTGAATTTCGGTGTTTGCTCATGAAGTTGAGCATTTTTTTTCATATTAATTGGCCTTTCATATTTTTGTGTTAATTGTCTGTTATTACATTTTACCTTTTACATTCAAATACTGTAAAGAATATTATCCTGTTACAGCTATTTTATTTTTTGCTTACCTTTTTATTGAGAGACAATGCCTCCCTCTGTCACCCGGGCTGGAATGCAGTGATGCAACCATAGCTCACTGCAGCCTGGAACTCCTGGGCTTAAGTGATCCTCCAACCCTAGCCTCTGCTGGGACCACACATACGTGCCACCATGCCTTGCTAGTTTTTAAGTTTTTTGTAGGAACAGGGTCTCACTATGTTGCCCCAGGCTGGTCTCCGAGCCTTGAGCAATCCTCCTGCCTCAGCCTCCCAGAGTGGTGGGATTACAGGTGTGAGCCAACACATCTGGCCTTTTTTTGCTTACCTTTCAATTCTGTTTGCTGTTTTTTGACATATAGAGGTTTTACATTTTGTTGCAGTTGGATTACCTTGCCTTTTGTTACTTTTTCATTGCTTCTATAAAGCTAAATCTTCTTTTCCCATTCCAAATTCAGAAATAATTTTCCACTAATTTAGTTTTCTTCCTTTTCTTCTTTTATATTTAACTCTTTAATCGCCACAGAATTAATTTTGGTGAATCTTATGAAGTAGGAGTTAATTTTACCTTTTCTAGAATATTATCTGGTTCTTGTGTTTATTCAGAATCCAGTATAGCTATGACATGAACCAAAACAAGTGATTTTTCTTATTTCAGTGCCTTGATTTTCCCATTAGGAGAAATGAGGAAGCCGTGAGTACCAGTGGAAGGACCAAGCCAGGAAGAGGGACTGGAACCATCTCAGAAGCCGTTCCCCTCAGCCTGGAACTTGCCCTGTCTCCTTGCAGATGAGGTAGGAGGCTCAGCACAGGCTGGCGGGAGCAGCCCACAGCAGCAGTGAGGGTCAGTGGGCCTGTGAGTTAAGAAGAAGGTGGCACAGAGCGAGGGTCTCTGGGTCCTGTTTGACTTTTCCATGACTGGGATAAGTAGCCAGGGCTTGGCTAGTTGGAGAGTTACTTGAACCTCAGGTGACAGTTGTAAGGCAGCACATGGTGTAAAAGAGTCCTAGCCTGGGAAAGTCCAAAATCTTGGGTCTGCTTTTCAGTTCACTCACCTATCTCTGTGACATAGCAAAGTCTCTTAACTTCTTTAATTTTCCGATTAGTGGTATAGTTGCAGGAATGAAATAAAACTGGTCCTGATGACTCAGAGATTCATTTACTGATTACTCTTTTTGTGATCTGAATAAAGAGTACAACATCTCTCAAAAGGTAACAATTTGATATTTCAGGAAATTAGAGAAGTTAAGAGACTTTGCTGTATTATGCAGATAGTTGACTGACTGCTGAGCCCAGACCCGAGATTCATTTATAAAACAAAAGAGAAGTACATACTCTGAGGTTTATCCTAAATAAACTAGTCTAGGTAAGTGGCTGAGCTAGGTTTGCCATGAATCAATCTGCTGAGTATATTTCTTGGTAACTAGTTCATCTTTCCTTAATTCAGTCAACAAATATGATACCAAGTTTAGTAAGATGATGACGGATGTCATGTAATACTCCATCTGGAAGACTGTGTGCTTCTCAGCTTCCCTAACTTTTCTTAATCTACCTTAAGCTTCCCTTCTGAAAGGTTTCTGTCTTTCCTAACAGTCTCTTCTTACCGCCAGCTGCCTCTTGTGTTTAAGAATTTAAGGAAGATGAGCTAGGAATCAAGAAATACCCAGAACTGATTCCTGTCACTGGCCCCACCCTGCCACTTGCCCAGAGCTGTGGCATAAATTTTTTTAATAGGCTGAAATAAAGATATGAATAGTATTTTGGTATTAAGCATTGATAAAAGTAAAGGCCATGAGATATACCTGCTCTCACCATGTTAATTTTCTATTATTGGTATTAATAAATTATTACTTACTAACATATTAACAAGAATTGCATCGAGAAAAAAAGCAGCCACAGGCCAAATCTTTTGAATTTCAAATGTTTATATTAATGTATTGTATTCTAGAAAAGTAGAATTGTCTTAAGTAGCTTTGTAATATAAAGTCATCTATCAGCCCATGACACCTATTAGAATGTTTCAACCTTTGTCTCCCACTTTTTTGTTTCTAGACTGAGTGTACTTGGTCTGGTATTTGTGGCATAACTTACAGAACACATAAGAATGATACAGATACTACTTAATGACGACCTAGTACAAGCTTAGATAGCTAAGGTGAAAGCTTCTGTGGCCTTAACATTTTCCTCTTGAAGAATGTATTTGCTGTAATAAAATACAGTGACTATTTGAAATCTATAAACTTATGTGAGGTCTGGATAAATCTGAGCAACTTTCTTTTTTGTGCTCCAGGAACCCACGCACTATATATACAAATAAAGCTTAAGTAAACATCACTGCTGCAATCTGTGTTTTGTTTGATTATATTACGTATTGCCTGATCTTTAAATAATGATGAAAAATAACATAACCATGTTTTAACATAAACCTTGAATGGATATGAACTTAAGGTAAACAGTTTCTTGGATAATTAAACTTTATTGTCTCACCGTGCATTACTTGGGTCTTGTAATATTTTTTAAAACAGTCCTGGGGATTTATTTTTTGAGGCGTCCAAATGAATTATTAGTTCTCAAAAGCCGTAGGATATTCCTGGGTCGATATATCCCCAAAACACTATTTTTAAACTGCTTAGTTTATTTTTCTTAGCATGCTCATCTGCTGCATAATTTTCTTTGCTATGGGTCACATGATTCCTCCCGTCCATAACTCACGCACTTAAAATTCTCACTTCCTGATTGAGCCATCAGATTACGTAAAATGTAAATCAGCCTGAATACCTAAGAGCAGGAATTTTAAGGGGGAAAATGCCGTTTTCTTTTCCTGTGTCATTATTAACCCTTAAATATCAGAGCGAGTGTCTGCTCACCTATTTGTATTTGGAAATGAGAGACTGTTAGGGGTTTTTCTTGGCCCTTCCCTTTCAGATTGAATCAGACTTTGCTGCTTTCCTTATAAAAAATAATGTACCAACTAGATAGACGGTGGGAGTGGTATCGTTGCAGGAATGAAACCAAAAGGGTTCCGATGATTGAGAGAGATTCATGTATTTATTAACTCTTTTCATGATCTGAATGAAGAGTACAGCATCTGTCAAAAGGTAACAATCTGATATTTCAGAATTGCAAGTGGCCATTTAGCCTTTCTGCTGCCTGAAAAAAAATGAAAGTAATTTCTAGCAGGCAGGATGACACTTGTTTTATCACGAATCTGACAATCCAGCACATTTTCTCAGAGCAATTTTGAAGTTGTCATAGAAACAGCATGGCATTTGGAGGGTCTTTTTAGTAGTTCTTTAGCTAGAGTTCATTAATTGTATTAACTCTGGATGTTTTTCTTTTTACTCCTGTTCGACAAACAAGGGCTATAATTGCTCAAATATGTATTTTGTGTTCTATATTTTTTGGTGACTGTAGTTTAAAGACGTGATGTTTCGTAAGTGGTTTCAGTAAAGGTTATCAATTGATTTCAGATACGTTAAACTTGGGTTTTTAATTTCTCTGTAAAACTGCACTATCATTGTGGCACCGGGATTTAGTTTTATTTAAGAAGTGAATCTGGGGAGGTATTTGCACAAATTCAGTTGTGGCTTGCTTCCACTGGTTGCAGCTATCCTTTGCTTTGATTTTGGTGTATTTAGAAAAAGAACTGGGGAATGCAGAAGGGGAAATGTGTCAGGCTTACAGGAGAAAATTGTTTCTTTAAAAACGCAAGAGGCAGGCACAACACCAAAAGCATGTTCCAGAAAAGAAATAAATTTGACTTTGTGAAACTTAAGAACGCAGTGCTCTTTGAAACTCTAAAGTATACTTAAATAAATTCTCCCCTAGGAAGATTTGTGGGAACTTTTTATTGGTGGAAAGTAGGTTGGAGCTTCTATTATTAATAGTAAAACTCTGTGGCAGAAATTCTTGCCAATATGGCGGTTGGTGAGAAAGGAATCCCGTTTCTTGGGCAGGGAGAGGGTCAGAAGAAAGAATTGTCTGTGCTGGGTCTGGATGCTGGGACTTAAAAAGTATTAGATATACAGTGCTTTGTGCTTTTTGTTTCCTTGTATAAGTGAACCGAGAGATGTGACACTTCTAAAACGTCTCGTGAGTTTTGTGGGTTTAATGCTAATGCCACTATCCTTACTGTTCTGTGAGTATTTGTTCAGCCACGGGTGATTCAAGAGAGTTGGGGTAGCAGCGTGTGCAGCCAGCAGCAGTCCAGGTGCTAATGTACCACTGGTGATGTCAGGAGTTATGAGACAGCGGTTTCAAAACACTGCAGTAAACAAGGTCAAAGTGTCCCGTTTCGCTGGAAGAAGGTTTGTTTTTATGAGCTGGACAGTACATGGATGAAGTAATTTTTCAAAACAAACTTTAAATTTATACATGTATTTTTTTTTTCCTTCCTTGGATTAAAAAAATTGGCCCGTTGAGATTAAATAATGGTTATGTTTTTAAGCAGAATTATGTTTCATATGTTTTTCCAGTCTTTTATTGACTTTCTGTTTTTCACAGAAGAAATGAAAATAACTTCTGATGTAGGGATTCTTAAGTGCAGTTTTAGAGAGCAAGACAGGACCCAGTACTTTCAAAACACGGCAAGTGCAAGTCACAGTCCCTAGTAAGATATTCCTTCTCATTTTGTGCCTTTGACTCTTATTTAGACAGACGTTTAAGTACGAGAAAGCTAATGGCGCAGATTCTGCTGACTGTGTGGCTCTCGTCTTAATGCGTTTTCCAACCTTGAACCTGAGAATGCCAGAGGATTGAGTCTCTGGACGTTCATCTGAGCAGATATCTGCTGGCCGCCTGGTTCCTGAGCTAACAAGTGGGCGTCCCAGGCTTGTGTGTGTAGTCACAACAGTGGAGGTGCCACGTGGCACCCAGAGGTCGACTGGGGCTACCGCGGGGCTTCCCGATCCTCACAAGTGTGTCTTCAGTGTCTGAGATGAACTGGGAACTTGGGGCATCTTTAGAAGCGCAGACATTTGGAGTTCCACGGCAAACCTGGATATAAGCACTCACACAGCTTTTAAAGTGAAAGCAAGGACCTTGAGGAAGGAATTGCCGTCATCTCATTCCCGTCCTGCTTACTGGGCTGGGGAACAAAGTAAGTTCTGCTTGTTTCTTTGTTAGTCAGTGTCTCCTGCGTGTTTTTTCTTGCTAACATTATTAGACACCCAATATCTGGCACATGCCAAGTTTTTTCCCCTTCATTGGGATGTAGGATATAGTTTATTCAATAACTGATTGCTTCTTTTATCTTTTCCCTCTTCCCATATCTATTGTGCCGGCTTGCTGTTCAGAGATAGGAAGAGATTGAAATTTATTATCAAGGAGAAAACAAAAGGTGTTTTGTTTTGTTTTGTTTCTAAATGGTCCAAGAACTTTGCCATTAGGTAAATGACTGTGACACAGACAAGGCGTTTTGTATGGTGTGACCAGGAGTACCTCCAGCAAAGCAGCCCCAGTTCGCCGCCCTGATTTCCATTTGGAAGCAGGCAGAGTGGGTTTCCCCAGCCCTGGTGTTAAGGCAGAGGGTCCTTGTGCAGGAATTGTGCAGAAACTAGGTGGGAAGCTGTCATAGACAAGAGGCTGCAATTTAAAAACGCATCAGGAAATGGAAAAGAGCTGCAAGAATATCAATTATTTAATGATGTTGATCAAAACAAATTTAATATAAAAATGAGATAAACGTATAGAGACCTAACCCTGTCAACAGCAACTAAACTAACTTTCATGTTAGAAAGTTTTGTGCCATGTAGATTTATGGACAATGTGCTTAATTGCCTCTAGAAAATAATGAAGCGGCTTCGTCACCGCCGTAGAAGATCCTGTGACACTAGCCTAATTCTGACACGTGGCTCCTGTTTCCCATTTTGTTTGTATCTTATGCTGATCCTCTCTCCAGGGATGTGATGTGGATTGATTAACTTGTAATACAAAGTTCTATGGTTTTTGAAGATGCAGAGTAAATAGAGATGAAGAGTGGTTTGTGATTTGTTATTAAATGATCTTCCCTTCTACATTTAGGACTGATTTTTACTGTAGAATTCTTTTTTTATTTTTTTGTTTGTTTGTTTTGTCAACTTGAACAGCAATACTTTGAAGGTAAAAGATGGGAGCACGACTGGAGTGGAACTGGAAAGCAGAAACTAGGGGTCTTCTATGTCTAGTATGGAATATTGTGAATTTAAGGTAGAGCTTCTGTGTCCTGGGAATTCATATTTTATCTCAAAGTGGTGCTGATAGGACTGGAGGTAGCTGTATTTCATTTGAAACATTCCAGCCTCTTTATAGGAATATCTGTGAATTATTAATTCAGCAAACATCTTTAAGTGTCTCCTTTATGTATAGTGTTGTGGTTAGAGCTGTAATTGTTTCACCATTAAATTTACAGAAACTCAGTTTGTAAATGAAAAATTCAGAACAGTTTGAAAGAAGGGCGAATGCGCAGAGTATTACCATCGAAACAGTCTTGTTAAAGATAGTGCCAAGTGAGCAGGACTGTCCCTTCTAAGCTGCCCCTCCTAATTAAAGGGAAAGGTGGCTGCCATCTGTCTTCTTTCATTCAAGGCAGTAGGGGGTCTAGGGTAGAAGGAAGCAACCCCCCCTTTATTTTTCTCCCACTCTTTTTTATAGTCAGCTTTCTCCCTAGTCAGTGACCCAGAAGGTCATTGATGATCTGTCTGTCTCAGAATGAATAGTAACATAAGCATGCTTGGCACTTGCAAAAAAAGAAAGTTTATAACATGCACTGATCCATTTAAAGTTCTGCTTGAATTATGTCTGAGAGTATTGTAATCTCTGTGTTGGTGTCTCTGCCCTGTTTGTTACCAAGGGCACTACTGGCAGGAAAAGTGGGGAGTTTTACTTTTATTGATTTTGCTTTTCCATGAAAAAATGTTTACACTCCACTGGGCATCATCAGAAGATGGCAGCACGTGGCTGTGTACAGGAGATGTGGGGACGTGCAGGAGTAGTATTCTGAACCAAAATCAGGGACACCTGTTAATGATGATACATCGATGTCATCTCAGGGGAAAGTGTGAACAAGCATGGCAACAGATGTCCAAGCTACTCAGTGGCGTGCTGCAGCTTTTTGGACCAGTTATTGAAATTAATTCACACTGTTTAGCTTTTGTTAAGCAATAAGCCTTTTAACCTTTTTCTTGTAAGAATACGTTGCAGGAGAATTTAGTTAGTTTGGGGTCATGTCTTAATTGCTTTGGAAATGTAGAATAGTCCCTCCAACAAAATGACTGCATTTTCTTGCCTCAGTTTCCACCTCTCTAAATAGAAGAAATATCTGCTGCTTTTATAAATTATATTATATAAGAGAATATGAAATGTTT